AACCTTATGTACAACCCAGTTCTCCCAACCTTACGTACAACACAGTTCTCCCAACCTTACGTACAACCCAGTTCTCCCAACCTTATGTACAACCCAGTTCTCCCAACCTTATGTACAACCCAGTTCTCCCAACCTTATGTACAACCCAGTTCTCCCAACCGTATGTACAACCCAGTTCTCCCAACCTTACGTACAACCCAGTTCTCCCAACCTTACGTTCAACCCAGTTCTCCCAACCTTACGTACAACCCAGTTCTCCCAACCTAATGTACAACCCAGTTCTCCCAACCTTATGTACAACTCAGTTCTCCCAACCTTATGTACAACCCAGTTCTCCCAACCTTATGTACAACCCAGTTCTCCCAACCTTATGTACAACCCAGTTCTCCCAACCTTATCTACTACCCATTTCTCCCAAACATTATCTACCAACCACTTCTCCCAACCTTATCTACAACCAATTTCTCCCAAACATATGTACCAAACATTTCTCTCAACCTTATCTACAACCAATTTCTCCCAAACATATGTACCAAACATTTCTCTCAACCTTATCTACAACCCATTTCTCCCAACCTTATATACAACCCATTTCTCCCAACCATATCTACCAACCATTTCTCCCAACCTTATCTACTACCCAGTTCTCCCAACCTTATGTACAACACAGTTCTCCCAACCTTATGTACAACCCAGTTCTCCCAACCTTATGTACAACCCAGTTCTCCCAACCTTATGTACAACCCAGTTCTCCCAACCGTATGTACAACCCAGTTCTCCTCCCCTTATGTACAACCTAGTTCTCCCAACCTTATCTACTACCCAGTTCTCCCAACCTTATGTACAACCCAGTTCTCCCAACCTTATCTACTACCCAGTTCTCCCAACCTTATGTACAACCCAGTTCTCCCAACCGTATGTACAACCCAGTTCTCCCAACCTTATGTACAACCCAGTTCTCCCAACCGTATGTACAACCCAGTTCTCCCAACCTTATGTACAACCCAGTTCTCCCAACCGTATGTACAACCCAGTTCTCCCAACCGTATGTACAACCCAGTTCTCCCAACCGTATGTACAACCCAGTTCTCCCAACCTTATGTACAACCCAGTTCTCCCAACCTTATGTACAACCCAGTTCTCCCAACCTTATGTACAACCCCGTTCTCCAACCTTCTTCCCAACCTTATGTACAACCCAGTTCTCCCAACCTTATGTACAACCCAGTTCTCCCAACCTTATGTACAACCCAGTTCTCCCAACCGTATGTACAACCCAGTTCTCCCAACCTTATGTACAACCCAGTTCTCCCAACCTTATGTACAACCCAGTTCTCCCAACCTTATGTACAACCCAGTTCTCCCAACCGTATGTACAACCCAGTTCTCCCAACCTTATGTACAACCCAGTTCTCCCAACCTTATGTACAACCCAGTTCTCCCAACCGTATGTACAACCCAGTTCTCCCAACCGTATGTACAACCCAGTTCTCCCAACCGTATGTACAACCCAGTTCTCCCCACCGTATGTACAACCCAGTTCTCCCAACCTTATGTACAACCCAGTTCTCCCAACCTTATGTACAACCCAGTTCTCCCAACCTTATGTACAACCCAGTTCTCCCAACCTTATGTACAACCCAGTTCTCCCAACCTTATGTACAACCCAGTTCTCCCAACCTTATGTACAACCCAGTTCTCCCAACCTTATATACAACCCAGTTCTCCCAACCTTATCTACTACCCAGTTCTCCCAACCTTATCTACAACCCAGTTCTCCCAACCTTATGTACAACCCAGTTCTCCCAACCTTATGTACAACCCAGTTCTCCCAACAAGCTTCATCAACGCTTCTAAAAGTTTTAACTTCGAAGTGGGTCGAATAATTTCAGATCTGTAGATTGCTTGTGTTGGAGCCGCCCCCGCCATCGTTCTCCTACAGCGCCCCTTCGTCTGAAAGTCAATACTTGTAAACAGAGTACACATGTATATTATTGTACCACCTGTTGCCTTTCAGTGGGGGCACGCTTTGTCTCACCTGTCGCAGGTGGGAGTTGACTAGAACAAGGGCTATCATCTGAATCTAGCATTGTCCGGGAACCTGTTTCATGCCACCTGATAGATTTTAGGTTTAGACGATTGATCAACATCATGGCACACGGGTAGTAACCCATAAATGCTCCGTTCTACTTCTAACTCAAGTCTGAGTCCGAAGAATCTCAGCACAATGCACGAACTCTGTAGCACCGAGGAGTATCCTGAAATACTTTGGGTAGATTTCTAACTCAAAATTTTGTCCGGGCAGCGCCGTTAGGCTACACTTTTTTTTTATTTCCAACTGCTAACGGATTTTTTTTTTACGTGCACAGCAATGCACACGAGCGTCCGAATTTACTACCCAGAGACCTGGGGAAATCACTAGAAGTGCATGTGAAAAAATCAAAGCCTTTAACAGGGCTTGAACCCGGGACCTCCAGTACTCGAGGCCGACGCCATGCCTCGAGCCCACCCAACCCCTGATCTGATCGAGAACATCTTTGGACAAATGTCACCAGTTCTGAAGAAAGGTAAATAAAGCAAAGGACACTTGTCCACGTCTTTGGGTCTGTTGGACATATAGGGCTAGAGCCTTATTGTATAGACCATTCGGCACTGGGTGGATGATGTAGTAGGCATCACAGCGGCAGCCTTTACTTCCCAGGACTGCACCTGGTACTCGCTCAACGCTGGGTCGACCTGGGTGCCATCGTAATTTTTTACAAAAATTTGGCTTCGTCAGGACCGCAATCCCACGACCTTCAGATCCGAAGCGAGCGTCTAGCTGCTAGACCACGATTTTGCAGAATACGCATGTAATAACGGACACCAAAATGACACTATTCAATACAGTATTGACACGAAAATGTCACTATTAAATACAGTATTGACACCAGAATCGCACTATTGAATACAGTATTGACACCAGAATGGCACTATTCAATACAGTATTGACACCAGAATGGCACTATTAAAATACAGTATTGACACGAGAATGGCACTATTGAATACAGTATTGACACCAAAATGGCAATATTCAATACAGTATTGACACCAAAATGGCACTATTCAATGCAGAATTGACACCAGAATGGCACTACTGAATGTAGTATTGACACCAGAATGGCACTATTGAATAAGTATTGACACCAGAATGGCACTATTGAATACAGTATTGACACCAGAATGGCACTATTGAATAAGTATTGACACCAGAATGGTACTATTGAATACAGTATTGACACCAAAATGGCAATATTCAATACAGTATTGACACCAGAATGGCATTATTGAATACAGAATTGACACGAGAATGGCATTATTGAATACAGTATTGACACCAGAATCGCACTATTGAATACAGTATTGACACCAAAATGGCACTATTCAATACAGTATTGACACCAGAATGTCCAGTGTATGCCCAGTACGCATGAAGGCGTGGATAAGACATCATCATCATCATCATCATCATCATCCTTGTCATTATTATCGTACATCATCATATATCATCATCCTTGTCGTCATCATCATCATCATACATGGTCAACAAACACAGTCATTGTGTCATAATCATACATCACAATCACCATCATGCAACATCACTATACATCATCATCACACGCCATCACTACACATCATCAAACAACACCATACATCATCCTAGACATCGTCAAAGAACGTCATACTTCATCACTTCACATCATAATCATACATCTTCATCATTATACATCATCTCTATATATCATCATTATATATCATCATCATACATCAGCATCATCATACCTCATCAAACATCATCATAATCATCATAATACATCATCAAACATCAGCACTAGAAACATCATACATCATCATCATACATGATCACTATAATCATTATACATCATCAAAGACATAATCACTTTAATCATCATTCATCATCAACATACATCATCACTATATTCATCATACATAATCACTATAATCCTCATACATCATTAAAATCATCATACATCATCACTATAATCATCATTCATCATCAACATACATAATCATACATCATTATAATAATTATACATCATAATACATCATCATAAATCCTCAAACTTCCTCATACATCATCATAATCATCAAACATTATAATACATCACCAGACATCATCACTTTTACATATGTCATAACTACTACTAGAAAGTGCATCCCAGAGAGCCTGTGACTTAGACATCATGGAAGCAGATATCCCAGCACATCGATCCGACCCATTCGGTGCTCCGTCCTCAGATGCAGCAGCCACTTCAATGACTTCCTGCTCCCATATCCAGCAAGAGTTGACTGACATCTCTTTGTTCTCTGCCTCGCAACCGAGTTGTGCTCACTCAGGAAGGAGTTAGATGCACGCATCCGCTGCGAAGCTGAATAACAGACATTGATGAGGTATTGGCTATGAAAGCACATAGGATTGGGGAATTGTCTCGAGAGAGAGAGAGAGAGCGAGAGGTGTGTGTGTGTGTGTGTGTGTGTGTGTGTGTGTGTGTGTGTGTGTGTGTGTGTGTGTGTGTGTGTGTGTGTGTGTGTCTCTGCGAGAGAGAGAGTTTTAGGCATGCCGTGACGAAAGCGACGTTCTGTAAAGGTTCAGCTGATTATGATAAAAGGGATGTCATAAATGTGCGAGAGGCGAATCGGGTTGTTGGGCGCTTGAAAGTTGCTCTGGTAGTGGCGAAGGAGACGGTGTCGCTTCGGGTTGCTGGGTGCTGTGCTTAAAAGTTGCTCTGGTAGTGGCGAAGGAAAAGGCGTGGCTTCAAGTTGTTAAGTGCTCGAAAGTTGTTCTGGTAGTGGCGAAGGAAAAGGCGTGGCTTCAAGTTGTTAAGTGCTCGAAAGTTGCTCTGGTAGTGGCGAAGGAGAAGGCGTGGTCGCAGGTTGTTGGGTGCTTGAAAGTTGCTCTGGTAATGGCGAAGGAGAAGGCGTGGCTTCGGGTTGCTGGGCACTTGAAAGTTGCTCTGGTAGTGGCGAAGAAGAAGGCGTGGTCGCAGGTTGTTGGGTGCTTAAAAGTTGCTCTGGAAGTGGCGAAGGAGAAGGCGTGGCTGCAGTTTGCGCTGGGGGTTTCCGTTTGATGATAACTGGAATTAAGAAGTGAAGAATGTTTGTTAGGAATATAGTAAAATCGGTCTGACATTATCAACGATAACCGATAATTATAGAGATAACAGAAGGTATTTTGATTTTCCTAATTCTTTTCTTTCTTCTGTTGTATGCCTCCTCCTAACTCCCCCCCTCCCCCACCCATTCTTTCAGTATGCTACTTTTTCTTCTTTTCTCATATTGCTTCCCCATTTCTTCTTTTCTGCACTCGTTTATGTGGATGTTGTTGTTGTTGTTGTTGTTGTTGTTGTTGTTGTTGTTGTTGTTGTTGTTGTTGTTGTTGTTGTTGTTGTTGTTGTTCTTCTTCTTCTTCTTCTTCTTCTTCTTCTTCTTCTTCTTCTTCTTCTTCTTCTTCTTCTTCTTCTTCTTCTTCTTCTTCTTCTTCTTCTTCTTCTTCTTCTTCTTCTTCTTCTTCTTCTTCTTCTTCTTCTTCTTCTTCTTCTTCTTCTTCTTCTTCTTCTTCTTCTTCTTCTTCTTCTTCTTCTTCTTCTTCTTCTTCTTCTTCTTCTTCTTCTTCTTCTTCTTTTTCCTTTTTTTAATTCATTTTTTCTTGTGTTTGTTTTTCTTTATTTTTTTCTTCTTTCTTTTTTTCTTATTTTCCTTGATTTCCTTCTCCTCTTTCTCTGTCCCCTCTTCATCCTTCCCTTCCTATTTCTTGTCTCCTTCTCCTCCTATCCCTCTTATTTCTTATCTCCTTCTCCTCCTTTCCCTCTTATTTCTTGTCTCCTTCTCCTCCTTTCCCACTTATTTCTTGTCTCCTTCTCCTCCTTTCCCTCTTATTTCTTGTCTCCTTCTCCTCCTTTCCCACTTATTTCTTGTCTCCTTCTCCTCCGTTCCCTCTTATTTCTTGTCTCTTTCTCCTCCTTTCCCTTCACATTTCTTGTCTCCTTCTCCTCCTTTCCCTTCATATTTCTTGTCTCCTTTTCCTCCTTTCCCTTCATATTTCTTGTCTCCTTCTCCTCCTTTCCCTCTTATTTCTTGTCTCCTTCTCCTCCTTTCCCTCTTATTTCTTGTCTCCTTCTCCTCCTTTCCCTTCATATTTCTTGTCTCCTTCTCCTCCTTTCCCTCTTATTTCTTGTCACCTTCTCCTCCTTTCCCTTCATATTTATTGTCTCCTTCTCCTCCTTTCCCTTCATATTTCTTGTCTCCTTCTCCTCCTTTCCCTTCATATTTCTTGTCTCCTTCTCCTCCTTTCCCTTCATATTTCTTGTCTCCTTCTCCTCCTTTCCCTTCAAATTTCTTGTCTCCTTTTCGTTCTTGTCGTCTCCTCTTCCTGCTGCTGCTGTAACATCGCAGTCGTCTTCACAGCATCCACCCCCCCCCCCTTCTTCTCCTCCCCTCTCTCCTCCTCTTCATCCTCAAAAATTAATTTGACATTAAACAGACAAACCTCTTTTCTGTTCCCTCGGCTGCACCAGGAACCGTGTGTCCACCTCTTGTCCACATACATCACAGACGCGTCTGGTCAGTGCTTGAGTGTCCCTGGTCGTCATCCACTCGCCAACGAAAGATGCGCTACGGCAGTGGGGACACTCGCTGAATCTTTCCACCAGAATACCTGTTACAAAACGTAGAATCTACCGGGTAATTTGGCTGGTATAAAAACTTGGCTTTACCGTACAACCTGGTAAATATAGAAATTTGAATTTACCGAGTAACCTGATGGATAAAGACACGAGAATTTACTGAGTAATCTGATGGTTATAGAAATTAAAATTTACCAGGTAAATTGGTAGACATTTAAATATAGAATTTACCGGTTTAACTGATAGATTAAAAAAAAAAAAGCACATACAATTTACAAATATATATATATATATATATATATATATATACATTTTACTTTTAAAAAATACAATTGACCGGTTAACCTGTTGGATATAGAAATTGGAATTTACCGAATAACCTGGGACATAGTCATAGCTTTGTCTGGCAGATAGTCTACAAGGGAAATTCTGACTGGGAGATTAGCAAAATACAGACATCTTTTCTGGTATGGCAGTTTCTGCAGCATGGTTTGTTCCACATGTAATGCCCCTCCACCACCTTTTTCCCTTTTTTTTTTAGAGCAACCCAACTGAGAAAGTGGTGAATGTTTCATAGGCAACGTGTGGTCTATATATATAATACTATCAGGCTTTGTGCTATGGAATTGGGAGGGGGGAGGGGGACTTTAATCTTACTCTTGAACTGTATCGCCATGGGGCGTGATTTTCATGGATATCTACAGCACAGTTAAATATCATCGTCTGGATAGACGGAAATTTGCCGGTAGCTCTCAGAGACCCATACTGGAATTTTTACAATGTATGTCGTATGAGGATATTAACTCTTTGAGGAGTAATCGCCATTTAACTGGCTTTTCAACTTATCCCGATCGCTCGGACTCCGGTATACTGGCACTTTAATTTTGTTTCGTTTGCGAGGGAAAACGAATTTCTCTGAATATGTTTTGAAAAATTAGGATTAGCAAAAGGAAGTATTTTTGTTTGTGATGTTCCACGTGGCTATTGCATCACTTTCTGATTTGTAAAAAATTTTTAGATGTGATTCAATCTTTATATGATTTTTCGATACCAAATGATAAAGGAAAAGGTAAATAACTGTTTATACTGCTGTGTCATTAATGAATCTCTGCCAGATGGTGACAACAGGTTTGATATTATGATTTATATCTAAGTGACAAACCTATTGGTGATAATTTTGTTTAGGATATGAAATCTGAACAAAATATTGCAATCGGATCATCTGTTTCGATCAGCTGTTTTTCCGATTTTTGGTTGTTGTGAAATCTGACATGTCATTCACAAATTATCATAACATCTAAAGTATTTAAATTAATTGTTAAAAAAAAAAAAAAAAAAAAAAAAAAAAAACCAAGACTAGTTGATACATAACTGAACAGAGAACGTATGTGAATTCTTAGAATAAGATAGCAGCGTTGCAGAAAAAGTGAGAAAAAAAAATAAGGTAAGCTCAAAATTGATTATGTAAATGATCTTCAAATGTGCCTAACATCCTTGAATGTTGTGTTATTTTAATAATATTGTGTTGTCACACTGACACTTAAATAGTTTAGATTTATTCTGCACTCATTTATCTTTAATTTGATATATTATGAGTCCCAAAACAGCCAGTACTTTTTCTTCAGGATAACAATAGTGGGCAGTGATTATGAAGATAATGATCCATAAAAGTAGAAGCAAAAACAGCAAACAACATTTCAGTGATTAGAAAGAATTATCACGACAGCACTCCGGACGAGGAGCGGCTGGCCGAACGGTTAGAACGATGAGCTTTTAATCGGACAGATCCATCAAAGTTAGTTGCGTATCTTTTACAGGACGTTGCAGAACCTACCCTAACAGCACCTGGCTGCTGTGTGGTTTTTCTAGGCAAATTTACGTCCAGTAGTTTGCCATTGCTTCCTGGACGGTCGACTATCTTGATACCACTGTCGAAACTAACGCAAGGCGCATGGCCCGCAGTTGGGATCGAACCCGGCATCCCGCATTACGAAGTGTTCGCGTCGACTTTGCCACGGACAGATTCATAGATGTTTTGAACTCCCCCTTAAAAGCTCCACACCTGTAAAACAAGTGATGACGCCTGTTATGTGGTGATTAATAAAACGTATTGTCCCCTTGGTGAAATGTTAATTTCTTACAGCTGCAAGTTGCACCCCTATATCCATCAGCCTAGACACGGATACAAAGTCATGCCCTTTGGCGTGCTCATTACAGTGATCAGTAACAAAACACAATCAAAATATTTAACATAACAACAAAACATACCAGAGTAGCCTTCTAACAACTGCTCAAATTCCTGGAGTAAAGGAACTAGGACAGACCACATGGTCACCACCGATGTCTGCTGGTCATTCTCAAAATCACCATCTCTGATTTCAAACTTCACCACATTCACCTCACAGCCATCGACGTGGTCATCCTGAAAGTAGGTCACCAACACATGAACGTTTAACTGCTTCCGTACAGCATGAATTCCTCCGCCCCACTGATGCAAGAAGCACAGGTTGTGCTTCTCCTGGTGGGCGCGGACGCACATTACCTCAAACAATCCCGGTGGGAGGTAGAGTGGAAACTTATAACAACACGCCAATTTGTGTCTTTGATCTAAAGATTCCCAGAATATTTTAAAACTGTCTGGTTCCGGGTCTTTGATAAACCAGGGGATTGTAAGATGTGTCAATATGTTGAACAACCCTGACTCAGACTTGCAAAGTGCTGAAATTGCAGCTTCCTTGTTGGATTTTGTTACAGGGAAACCCAGTTCAAATCCTTCCGCTAAAAGTTTCATGATATCGGTTGTTATGGAAATGTTATCAAGGGACATCAGTGGCGCAAGAAGACAGCGGAAGAAGTCCCGGTCAAACATGGCGTGTGATATGGCGTCCTTCTTTAGTCTGTCGAATTTCATCGTGGTTAGTTCAGGACACCTATAAATAAAACATGAGATAACTAGAACATGTATTAAAAGTAACGAGAATCAAAACATCGTGGATCAAGAAGAAGAAAAACCTTTGGACTAAAAATAACAATAATACTGAAAACCTATTTGATTTGAACATTGAGAAAGGAGAACTGGCTCATAAACAACATCCTGTCCGGAAAGCTGAGGTATTTTGCCTGTGTTAAACGTCTTGTTTGTTTGTTTTAGTATCCAGAAGCCATGAGTTAACCCTTAGGCTCGTTATTATGGATATCGCAACCTTTCGGCCTTGATTCCATTGTGAATACCGCAAATCTCTGCCTATCCCCGGGATTGAACCCGGACCACAAGGAGTTCGTCACCCGGTCTCCGCGCAATCCGGTTTAGCCAACTACGCTAGAGAGCCGGGCGTGTGTTAAAAGTCTTAAGGGTGAATAAAAAAAATAAAAAGTAAAGTCGGGAGATGTGAACCAGTATCATTACACACGGTTATAAACAATTGGTGCTCTGCCACAAGTACGGACAGCTAATAAAAAACTGCCCGACTGTGTCGCCGTCCGCATAAACTCCGTAGCTTCAGCGACGTTCCTCCATTTACCACTGAATGTTAACTCTGGTACCCATTACCTAGAGGCTGTGTGAACCCCGGAAACCGTTCGGTTTCGAACACTGGCCGTAGGCTGCAGCGAGTCGCAGCTGGATTTGAAAGCGAGTCTGCTATCGACGGCGCTAACGCTGCCGCGAAACGTCTTAGAGGAGAGAACAGTGGTGGATGGTAAGAAGCCGGGTAAGCGATTCAGAAGCATGGGTGCGAGAAAAATACAAGACACTAAAAATGCATTGACTATGAAAATAAATAAAGGTGGAGAATTGGCTGGAGAAGCTGCAGACTTTCAGTCATGCTGTGACGAGAGCGACGTTTTGTTAAAGACCTGCTGACTGATGATCAGAGAGTACAGAAGGAGTGGCCGTGGCCAACTGTCACGCGTTTCCGTGTCGATGTGGAGGTGTAGGGTTCGACTATTCACCTGGCAGATTTTTTTTTTTTTAAATTCACATGAGCTCCCAGGTCCACCCATCGTAACTGGATACCAGGAATGGAAAAGAAAGTAAACGCTACCTGAGGTATTACCACATCACCTTTCGAATGCCGATCGGTCTAAAACTAGACATAGCCCCACATACCAACATCAGCACTGTCGTATAAAAGGTGATTTTCTTTCTTCTCCTTACTTAAAGTAAATGGGACAAACTTCAGGCAAGATGATACGTTTAAGTACTTGTGTACCCTGATAACATGAGACAATAAATGTATGTATAAAGTTAAATTTTATGACCTGCCTAAAATGGGTACCAGGATGGGCTGTCCTGGGAAAGTAAAGACAGCCGGCGTAATGCTGACCACATTACCCACAGAGTGCTGATGGTCTGTAAAAATATGGGACGCTCTGCCCGTATGCCCGATGCGCCGAAAGGCGTGAAAAGGGAACTTTACTTTACTTTACTTATAAAGTTAAATGCTCAAGCAAAGGCAGCGTTTGACAAACTTAAGAATATTCAAATCAACATTTCTTTGTCAATTCCTTTTCTTCTTTTTTTTGTGTGTTCACCGGCTGTAAGCTCCGGCGGAAACTTCTGGTTGTTCGTACATGTCTGGACTCTAGTCTTGTTCCCGAACTGGAGTTTTGCGAGCATATCCGTTTAACAGATCTGACTTATCTGAATGCAGAATGTTGGTTACCTGCCTCTCAGGCAGATTCACTCCAACTTTAAAGGAAGTCCTCAGTTAGTCGACTCTTATGACATGCTTGTTGGGAAGGTGGTGGATTTATTCTTGGGGTTCCATAAACCACACTTTGTCATTTGGGAGGGGGAAACATAATTCTCAAGAGCTGTATAAATCGTATCCGAATATACGGAACTGAAGGGGGAAACTGGAATCCATGGTGACAATGGGAAGTTCGAGGGGAAAAGACATAGAAGGAGATCGAGTGCAAAGATGCTGGACAGTATGACATGGAAGATCATCTGCAGCAGAAATGACTGGTCTCCTGTCTCACGCCTAGCTTGTTACATGGCCAAATCATTTTATTTGTTATCTGCCCCTAAAGTTCATTCTTGGTTCTGTACCGACATATATCATCGTTGCTAAGTCGATCTTTCCTTGTTGTTGTCTATGTTTCCTTGTACAAATCATAGTACGTTAACATTTCATTTCTGTCGTCACTATATTCATTCTGTTTTCTAAAGACAGTGTCCATGTTTGACATTAATAGCGTTGAGTTGGTAAGAATATTGTGTTGAACAGTGCTCTTTTAGTATTCATGTTCACATGCTTCTATGCCCAAATTGGTGCTCATCATCATCATGTAGCAGGTCCTTTGCAGAACGTCGCTCTCATCACAGTCTACCTGAAAGAAACTCGGTCTCTCGCCAGTTCTCCCGCCTCATGTATTTTCATACTCAAGGAGTCACTTATATCCTGTGCCTATCTTCGTGTCGGTCGGCCCCTGCCCCTCCTTCCTGGTACCATGCCTTCAGCTATAATTTTTTCCAATCCGTTGTGGCGCTTGATATGATCAAAATATTTCAGCTTCCGAGACACGATGCTGTTTATTAGCAAATCTTCCTTGATGTTCAGATCTTTTAAGACGTCAATATTTTCCTCTTTTTTTCAAATTGGTGCTATTTGGCCTAAATCGTGACCAGCTGTATTGCATCTTTGCTGGATTTTTTTTATTATTGCCTCTGTTTTATGAAAAAAAAAAAAAAAAAAAAAAGCTCCAGATATGTAAACCTTTGCTTGCTTTAACTGGTGTTCATAAGTTAAGATATTGGTGCTTCTTCCTTTTCTGGAGAATGTCATCGCTTCTGTTTTGTCTACGTTGATCTTTATATCATAGCTGTTGTCGCATTCTGAGTGGAGTCTATTAATATGTTCTTATAGTCGTACTACTGTTGTTGCTCTGATTGCCAGGTCAATATTTCGTGTCTTATAATATGAGACGTACCTTAGCTTATCTTCTGGTGTGAAGATAACCTTGTCAAGGTCATGCCGCAGAAAGCATCGCAGAAGGTCCAACAGCCAAGATGGCCGAATGAAGACCAGATCTTTTAACTTGGGGACGCTAGAGAACCATAAAATCTGGGGAACGATACAGAGGAAGTGAAAGTCAATGGAGGCAACAACAGTAGCAACAAAAATAACAACAAAAATAACAACAACTATTATTACAACTACTACCACTACTACAATAATGGTAATGATAATCATGGTAGTGCTAATAACGCTAATATGAGTGATAGTAGTAGTAGCAGTAATAATAATAATAATGGTAATAATAATGTGGTAATAAAAATAATAGTAATAATAATCATGAATTTAATAATAATAATTACAATAATTATCATTATAATGGTAATAGTTATAACGCTAATATTAATAATAGTAGTAATAGTGGTAGTCGTGGCAGTAGTAATACTAATAATAATAATAATAATAATGGTAATAATAATGGCAATAATAATAATAGTAATAATTATTCAGGAACTTAATCAACATAATTGTAATAAATATAATGGTATTAGTAACTGTTATCTAATATTGCATAACACATTGGTCAAGTTGACGCAAGCTGGTTTATGGCATATGCTTCATTGTAGATAAAGGGTAGAAGAAAATGAAATAATGATGATGATTATGTTAATGTTGATGATTCAGACTTCCGGTCCAGTTTGGAGGACTAGGCATGGTAGAATGTTAGCTTTGAAGGTATGTTTGCTCCTGACAGCGCTTTGTTAAAGTAGTTTCATACATGGACGGAAGTCTACGGTTTCGTTGTCTAAGCTACTAAGTTGATTGCTGGGTGTGGAATAACTTTCATTTGTGCTGCGGTTGAATCATGGTGTTCAATATGGCCCGTAGCCGGTTTACGTTTGGGCTGGTGAAATACCTTATGAAATAAATTTACGTGTGTATAGCCAATTTATCGTGTCTGACTACTTCCATTAACAACAAAGTGCATTTCTGGTGGCGACTGTTGGCTTTGGCATTTCTGGGCACTGTCATGTGCATTTATCGAGTGCGCATATTTATTGTCTGTGCAGGGATAATTGTTTGGTCACCAGTGTTACAAATGGAACACTAAGGGACATTTTCATTTGATTTTCACTGGCACAGAAATAAAAACTAGAAGTCACATTGTAACTTTGTAGATATGTAAATTAAAATTTACCTGGCCAATTTCGTGGAGGTACTGGGCTATGGGCCTCATCAGGTGCTTCATTCCGAACCGTGACGTCACTTCCTGCTGGAACTCTTCCCAGGACAAGACCGGAAAGGACATGGAGTTTCCACGATCCTAGGTCATTGAGAGAAAGCATGTAAATATAGAGAGATCTGAGGCGTAGACAAAAAGAACTGGGTGAAATATGTACGGAAAAGGTTAAACATTTAAAATTTAAAAAAAAAAAATTGTTTTACAGATGTATAATTCTTTCTCTGGACAATCGGTAGGCAGGCCAAACAATTTCTTCAGGCCTCAGAGATGTGGTTTTACAGAAGAATGCTTAGAATACCTTGGACAGCAAAAAGAGCAACCAAGAGGTTTTGAAAGAGGCGGGAGCCCGAAGACAACTTATCACAGACATCAGAAGGAGACAGTCATCATTTTTCGGCCATGTTATGAGAAGAGGGAAAATAGAACATGTTGTGACCACTGGAAAGATCTGTGGAAGGAGGGATAGGAGGAAGACAACGAGAGAAGATTCTTGACAGTCTTGTAGCATCCCATAGAGGTGTGTCGGCACACGAACTGATACATGCTGCATGAGATCGCAGATTGTGGAGAGGCATGATCGCCCACGTCAGTCCGCAAAGTACCTGATGATGATGATGATGATGATTTTTTCTCTTCGTTATTCCAAGTGTTCCAGTTGCGTTGTGCCTTTTTACAGCAAAGCTGCGATATTTACGTCTTTCGGCCAACACATCCGACTTTTTAGAGCATTTGTTGACCGGAGTAAGTTCCAGGCTTTAGAAATATAATAACTACCAATTCCTGCCTTTATTATATCATTTTTGCGGTGTTGACATGAGGGTCTTTGAGCCCAAGGGTTTAAGGCCGAATAGCTAGTGCTGTCACCACGGACTTTGCAGGTGAGGATTTTAATTTTGCTTCCGACCAAAAACATCCCCAACCTTACAGAGGATTCGAACCCGGGTCTCCATATGAGAGCACATAGTTCTAACTATTCGGCCAGCAGCTCCTCTTAGAAATAAAATGACTGTAATAATTTTTTTATGCAAGGTCTATCTATTGTCAGTTTCTTCGTGTGATAAATATCTAGTTTCTTGTTGATATCAATGCTTATGTTTATGTCCTCCTTTTGATAGACAGCATGTTCTGATTCATAGTATATACCTCCGTTGTTAGTAAGCGATTTCTCTATATCGAATTTTGATTCCGGAATCAACATCGCAGCACTCGGGACACCTCCTTAAGCGCTGCGTCCCCGTCTTCAGTAGCAGGCTTAGATTTCCACATGCATTGGCTCCAGAAATAGTCTGTGAGTATGTCCGTCTCGTCTTTTCCAGACGTGTTGAGCGTCAGCAAGATCCCCTGGCTGCTTCACGAAGAACTATTCTCATCAAATCGTGATGGTCTGTTTGTTTGTACCTACGCACTGTTTACTTACTCCCAAACGACCATGATGAATGTTGAATTAGGAATCGACATCACAGCACTCGGGACACTCCCATAAGTGCTCAGTCCCTATCCTTAGCAGCAAGCAAAGAGTTTGAATTCCGATGGCACCAGTAATCGTCTGATTGCATATCTGTCTCATGCTTCCCCTGAGTGTTAAACGTCGGCCAGATCCCCTGGTAACTCCTCGCAGCGCCGTTCTCCACAGACCGTAATGATCTATCTGCGCCTCCGCACTGTTCACTCGCACCCAAAGGGCCCTCATAATATCTAACTTGTTATACATCAATTCACCACTAAGCGATGCAGAGCCAGCCAGTCCATCTGCCTGCTCATTTCCCAACACACCGGCATACCTGGAAATAAATATCCGAAGGATGCTCCCAAACAACCATTACAACACATTACCTGGCGTGCATCAAAACCCACCAAGTTCTGCAGAACCACCAAGCATCCTGCCTGTTAGTTTCCCAACACGATGGCAAACCATCGCGACCTCCGAAGAGATGTCTCAATCTATAGTACAGTTTAAAGGACATATCTATGTTGCTATAGACTCACCTCTACGTAATGGCGAACGTCCAGCCAGAAGGTGGGGATAACTCTCATGACACGGGGAAACAATTGCTTGTCTTTGACTAGATTCTCGATAGATTGTCGAACTTTGTCGAAGCCTAGATACGTCTTGGAGCTGGTACACACGACGTCGGTTACAACTATGGTTTTTGTCTGGAGATACAGGGAGAATGATAATGACTTCTTTCTTTCTTTCTTTCTTTCTTTCTTTCTTTCTTTCTTTCTTTCTTTCTTTCTTTCTTTCTTTCTTTCTTTCTTTCTTTCTTTCTTTCTTTCTTTCTTTCTTTCTTTCTTTCTTTCTTTCTTTCTTTCTTTCTTTCTTTCTTTCTTTCTTTCTTTCTTTCTTTCTTTCTTTCTTTCTTTCTTTCTTTCTTTCTTTCTTGCTTGCTTGCTTGCTTGCTTGCTTGCTTGCTTGCTTGCTTGCTTGCTTGCTTGCTTGCTTGCTTGCTTGCTTGCTTGCTTGCTTTCTTTCTTGCTTTCTTGCTTTCTTGCTTTCTTGCTTGCTTGCTTTCTTGCTTGCTTGCTTGCTTGCTTGCTTGCTTGCTTGCTTTCTTTCTTTCTTTCTTTCTTGCTTTCTTGCTTTCTTGCTTTCTTGCTTTCTTGCTTTCTTGCTTGCTTGCTTGCTTGCTTGCTTGCTTGCTTTCTTTCTTTCTTTCTTTCTTTCTTTCTTTCTTTCTTTCTTTCTTTCTTGCTTTCTTGCTTTCTTGCTTTCTTGCTTGCTTTCTTGCTTTCTTTCTTGCTTTCTTTCTTGCTTTCTTTCTTGCTTGCTTGCTTGCTTGCTTGCTTGCTTTCTTGCTTTCTTTCTTGCTTTCTTGCTTTGTTGCTTTCTTTCTTGCTTTCTTGCTTTCTTTCTTTCTTTCTTGCTTTCTTGCTTTCTTGCTTTCTTTCTTGCTTTCTTGCTTTCTTGCTTTCTTGCTTTCTTGCTTTCTTGCTTTCTTGCTTGCTTGCTTGCTTGCTTGCTTTCTTGCTTTCTTTCTTTCTTTCTTGCTTGCTTGCTTGCTTTCTTGCTTTCTTGCTTGCTTTCTTGCTTTCTTTCTTGCTTGCTTGCTTGCTTTCTTGCTTTCTTTCTTGCTTTCTTGCTTTCTTTCTTTCTATCTTTCTTGCTTTCTTTCTTTCTTTCTTTCTTTCTTTCTTTCTTTCTTTCTTTCTTTCTTTCTTTCTTGCTTGCTTTCTTGCTTTCTTGCTTTCTTTCTTTCTTTCTTGCTTTCTTTCTTGCTTTCTTTCTTGCTTTCTTTCTTGCTTTCTTGCTTTCTTGCTTTCTTGCTTTCTTTCACTCTTTCTTTTTCTTTCTTTCACTTTTTCTTTAGCTCTTTTTTATATTTTTCTCTGTTAATTCTTTCTTTCTTTCTCTCTTATTTTCATATAATCTTTCTTTTTCTTCTTTTGTGGTGTAGGCCGTTAGAGGATTTATAGCCGCATGGCTAGAGCTGTCGCTACTGTCTGTGTAGGTGTGGATATAATTTATCATCACTAAGAGAACTGGACCACACCAGACCCAGAAAACACAAGCGCCACACCGCAGCAAGGAAGCAAAGAACCGGTTTTTTCAGATGTGACTACACACCACAAATAAAAGGAAATCAAATAAGACAGACAAGGAACCTTCCTTCATATAGCAGGCCTCCAGGCGGCTGAAAAGGATCAAATTTTGAATTTTTGTTGGACAACTGGAATTGGAATTTTAGCGGTCTATTTGGCTGTCACTCTGTGGTCGGCTCTGTATGGTCAGACACCCTGTCTGTCGTTGTTTGACTCCACTGAGTCTCAACGCACAGGTGTATCAGATCGGACCGGCTTAGCGACGCTAGACTGCCTTGTGTTCGCAATAATGCTACGTTTCATTTGTTTAGGTGGTGTTATATTTGATTTCTATTGTGCGCCCTCGCTAGGAGATAGTTTGATGGCAGGTCGATGTATCTGATTTGTTGATCTGTGGCATATCGAAGCTTAACGTACATATTTAATATGTTTTGGTTTTTGCCATTTCTGAGGTAATCTCCATTAGCGCATGGTGTCATTATCATATTTCCTTGTTAGCTGAAGATGATTAGCACTTTACATTGTAGTCGAGCACGTTGGTTGTTAATGTATTATTTTGTAAAGTAAAAGTTAATTATGTGTTCAGGTTAGTAAATTAAACAACTGTTTAATGTGATGGTTATAATTCATTTGCTTGATTTAATGCAAGAACTGTAGTCCGTGCACGTGGTGTGTGAAGCCATGTATTTAGGTTGTCGTCATGTAACTCACGATACATATGTTCACTGTCTAGGTCTTAGTGAAATATTCTAGGATCTCTGCGCAGAAGAACCCCTGTCTTTTCTTTACTTTCCTGTTTTTGCTGTTTAGCGGGGAACTATTAATTGTGTCCTAATCACCATTTTCCTTTATCTTCTCTACTTCTGTTTTTTCCTTGGTCTTTTTCGTCCCGCTAACACATACAGAATAAGTTACCCACACGTCTTCAGTTAAGTTCAGTTGTGAACTTGTCATGTTCATTTCTTTCATGGTGTCACTTAATGTAATCAAACTTAGAGGTTCGGAAGATACTAAAAATGAAAAGAGAGTTAACTGATAGAAATAAAAAGAAACAAATAAAATACCAGTGTTGCCACTTTTCTTTGACAAAAAACATCCAATACGGAGTCAAAAATATCCAAAAACATCTAATTTTGCGTGTAAGACATCTAGAAAAAACATCCAAGTGGAAAGAGTTACAAATTACATAGCAATTGATATGCCTTACCCTATAGAATCATGTCCTCATCTTCACCGAAGTCTGCCTTACAAGATCCACAGGATAAACTTAGCTTGGATGATGAAGTTGAAGCTTAAGATCCAAAATGACTCTGGCATACTTTAGCTGTTCCAAGTTATTTAAATACCCAATCAGGGAGCTGATTAGTGGAACAGCCTTTTCCTACTCTTATCAGGCCGAATTTTATTGTCAAGATAGCATTTAAGAGGTCAAATTTCATCCTGTTTCTTAGGTTAGATTTGATAAATTTACTCCAAATAAAAAAAAAACACACACAAATAGAATGATATCTACCATCTAAACGTCAAAAACGCCATCTAAATGCAAGAAAAAATATCTAAATCTGGATGTAAAACATCTAAAGTGGCAACATTGTAAAATACCTCGACCTTGTTAAACACTCTTACAAAAACCATACTCGGGGTAAGGTATAGTTAAGCGAGCAAGAGTCAGTCAATGATACAATTGGGAGGGGGTATAAGATTAAGAGATAGACGAACAGCCGTCTGGGAGTGTATAGCTAGGGCGAAAGGCATATTGTGATGGAGATCTATTGTAGCCAAACTTGAGACGGCGGAGACGGCACTTTGGTTGATGTTTGTACGTATGTACCCCACCAGGATATTACAAAAGCGATTAACACCCAGTGACACAAAGTGTTACCATGTGGATGAGGATCACCCGTGCAGAGGTCACAGAAACCCTACTCAGGCTTTAGGCCATATTTAGGGCCTCCGATGAAAGCCAGGATGGGGCTGCAAAATAACTCAAAATTGCATCCCACAAGGGAATGACGAGATTCTATCATATTTTTGATTGATTGATTGACTTTCTACCCCACTAGGACATCACACAAGCGATAAACACCCGATGACACAAAGTGCCACCTTGAGGATGAGGATCACCAGAAACCGCGTTCAGACAACTGGCCATATTGATGGCCTGCCTATATTGCGGCCCCTGGCAAAAGCCAGAGTGGGGTTTCAAATAACAAAATATTACGTCCTGAAAAGGACGTAAGGAATCCGTAGAATAACAAATTTTTGGTTGATTGATTGACGTCAAAAAAGTACATTTAAATGGATGGCTATGGCATATTGAGAGAATGTCAGATGACAGAGAGGTGAAAAACTGTATGCAGAAGGGAGCTGAATGGTCGTAGACCAAGACGACGAGGAAGAGATATCTGCAGCAATCAAGTTAAAGAGCTCAGAATGCTGAAGAAGAAGACATTTAAAAGGAAAGCTGAATTTCTTTGCTTCCGTGTTTCTTCTGTAATAAAATGCCAGGGGCAACAACCAGTTAATTATCTTAAGTATCATTTACTAAATAATTAAATCCCCTTTTCACATCAATGCTTGTTGAATCTCTTCATTGCAGTTTGAATTAGTTGCGTATCCTTTACAGTACATTGCAGAAGTAACCTGTTTACCTGTTGTGGTTTTCTAGGCAAATCTACCTCCAGTAGTTTGCCATTGCTTTTTGGACGGTCGCCTTCTCGATACCACTGTCGAAACCAACGCAAGGCGCAAGGCCCGCAGCTGGGATCAAACCCGGCACCCCGGCATTACGAAAGGCGTTATGAAAACGCCTAAGCTACATACGTCACCATCATATTTAAGTCTAGCCCTATATACCCAATACGCCTGAAAGGTGTGGAAAAGGGGCTTTTATACTAGCTTCTCAGGCCACTAAAACTGTTTCCGGGCATCGTTCGCCCAACTCGTAACCTAATTCCTCTTAGTTACGCTTCACGGAAAAAGCAGTCTGGGCGTGGGAAAGTGAGGGGGGGGGGGGGGGGGGGGGGGGTAAAAATGCCGAAAGTCATCCCCATGCGGGAATGCACCTTTTCGTTATTTGAAGCCTAACCCTGGATTTTGCCGGGAGCTCTGAATACAAAAAAAGGTCATTTTTCCCGCCTTAAGGTTTTTTCAAACTAGTCATCTCCTTGTTGGATGCAGTTTTTTTTGTTATTTGAAGCCCTTCTCTGGCTCTTGTCAGGGGCCGCAATATAGCTCGTCTATGAATATGGTCTAATTGCTGAACGTAGTTTCTGGGACCTCTCCACGGGTGATCCTCATCCACATGGTGGCACTTTTTATCATCAGGTGTTTATCGCTTGTGTGATGTGCTGGTGTGGTAACCTGTACTACTACTATCACGTCTTTAGGCGTATAGGGCATATACGGCTACACCAATTTATAAACCAGTCTGCACAAGACGGGTGATGTGATCAGCAACAGGCCGGCCGCCTCTACTTCCTGAGACTTCACCCGGTACCCACTCAAGGCCGGGTCGACCTGGGCATCAAGGTCAATTTTGAAAAAAAAAAGGTCCAGCTCCGCCAGGAATCGAACACACGACCTTCCAATCCGCGACACCCCGCCCTAAATATGGCCGGACGACAAAAATGGGTTCTTAATTTATAACGTACCCCAAACACGAAATTCGCTTGGGAAATCCACAGCTGACCTGACAGTCCATTATTTCAAGGGGTGCAAGTGTGCTGTTGTGTGGTGCTGTTTTTGAGTGTTCATCTAGTGTATTCTAACCCTAACCCTAACCCTAACCCTAAACTTGGCTGTAGATAAAATAGAAACTACAACCTGAAAACCCTAGAATTTATTAGGAATGTCTCCCGTGACGTAGTCGTGACGTCAGGGGTAAGTTGTGACCTAACGGCTAAACTGAGTTTCTGGGACCTCTCCACGGGTAATCCTCATTCGCATGGTGGCACTTTGTGTCACCGGGTCTTTATCGCTTGTGTGATGACCCGGTGGGGTACAGTTTAGAATTGAATAGAATAATGTCAATGACACTTTTGAGGCCCCTATCACATCTGCCAACTCCCCGTGTGGGTTCCGGGGCCCCATTGTGGGGAAATGAAGAATAGACCTACCTACGTAAGAGTCGACTAATTGGGGATCTTCCTTGGAAGTCCGACTGCAAGGAACCAACAGTATGCATTCAAATGAATCAGATCTGAAAAACTGATGCACACGCAACACTCAGGTTCTGGAGTAGGACTGCAGTTTAGAAGTGGACGAACAACCAGAACTTTCCGCCAGAGTGTACAGCTGGTGAACGCGAAGAAGAGGAAAAAAGAAGAAGACATGTGCCAACCTGTAGAAGTCGCCTGTACATCTTGAGCTGCTCAGATAAGGTCGGAGAAATGTGTGGTCTGTCTTCAATCTCCTGGATACTATCTTTGATGTACTGGGTCTGTCTGTCAGTGTGTTTGGTCAGTCTCGCTTTCACCTCCGTGGAGACCTGAGGATAACCATATCAGAGAGTTGTTAAAACCTTAGACGAGTTTTAAGGTTTTGAAGCTTGAACAACGGATCAACATCATGGCACATGGGTAATAACCTATAAGTGCTCCGTTCTTTTTCTAACTTAAGTCTGTCTGAGTCTGCAGTATCTCAGCACAGTGCACAGGCTCCGTAGCACCGGCGAGGATCCTGAAATACTTTGGGTAAATTTATAACTCCAAATTTTCCCCGTTAGGCTACTCTTTTCGATTTCCAACTGCCAAAGGATTTTTTTTACGTTCGCAAAAATGCACACAGGCGTCCGATCTGACTACCCAAAGACCAGGGGGGAATTACCAGAAGTCCAAGTCCACGTGAAAATATCCCAGCCGTTACCGGGGATTGAACCCGGAACCTCTAGCACTCTAGGCGGACACCATGCCCCAAAACCACGCAGAAGAATCGAAGGTGTGAAATAGATTATCTATATCTGCAATGTTGTCTTTAGTATGAACTTTGCTGTCTTTTGTAATTCCCTCAGCGAGGGTAAACATTAGAGCCACAGTCATTGTTGAAAAAGTCTGGGACCCTACTCCACGACCTTCATTTAGTAGTTAGTTAGTTAGTTGGTAATTCAGTTGGGTAGTTGGTGGGTTGGTTAGTTAGTAGATAGTTTATTCTCACTGCACATGGATCCATTCAGTCCATAATTGCTCGGATCCCCTCCTTAGTGTATCCCGCAGCGTATAGCGGCTGACGACACCCGTTCTGCGTTGATTTCTTATTCTTTTTTGGCTTTCTGCATAGTGCTCTTATCTAGCAACATCCCTTACAACACGTTGTTCTTGTAGTCAGGTCATGGTAGCAGATCCACAGGCATCACTTGGTTCTTGCAAACGTCCTTCTTCTCGTATCATCATTTGTAGCAGGTAATTTTTAAGAACGTCGTTCTCATCACATTTTGCCTGAAATAAACAAGGTCTCTCGCTGGCTTTTCCGTCAATATTCAATGATTCACTTATATCCGTGCCCATCTTCGTGTTTGTCCGCCACTGTCTCTCCTTCCTGGAACCATGGCTTCTGCTACTCTTCTCATATGGTATTCAGAATATCAGCCTGGTCCGCCTTCTACAGCAGCCTTTCCTGCAAGCCTATCAGCTTGCTCAATTCCTTTCATACCTGCATGCCCTGGCACGAATATAAAACTGACATCTGTCAGCGCAGACCACTTTAAAGACTTCAACTACTATCTTCGGATAGCTGTCTTTCGATAGTTTATATGATAGTTACACTAAATATCTAAATTACCTTTCTCATCTGTGATTCGTCCAGCTTGTCGCAGTGAGTCCCGACGAGAACAACCGCCCCTTTGTTGGTTTTGGCCAGCATCCAGTCGAACCAGGATCCTATATGGTCCTGGAATGTTGCCTCCGAGTAGTCCAGCATGTTGAAGGTGAGGATTGCCACTGATGGATGCTCAAAGAAGGTGTAGTGTGGGTACATATAGAAGGCGTGTCCACAGAAGTCCCATATGCTCAACTAAAAAGATACAAATACGTGTGGAAAAGTGAGTTGCGTATCCTTTACGGGACGTTGCGTATCCTTTGCAGGACGTTGCGTATTCTTTACGGACGTTGCGTTTCTCCTTCTCTCAGGCAGATGTATTCCGACTTCAAAGGAAACGTTCTAAAGTAGTCGTCTCCTACGACACGCTTGTTAGGGCAGTAGGCTGATCTTTGTTCACCTAAAACGGGGTCGAGGAACTGATACGGGACAAACTCCGCAGCCATATGTACAAGAAATTCAAAACTGGGAGCACCGAACTTTGTCAATGCTACAGGCACCACAAAATACTGAACATCTCCTACAGACATACTCTCTTAAATGTTTGTGTATTCTAGACAAAGCATTACGGTCTACTGTGTTTGTAAATTGTTGCTGTGATTGTATTTGACATATTCTTCGTTAATTTAAATTTATGTAACTTATGGTGCCATTTCAATGGTTTGAAATGAATTCTGTCCTTATTCCATAGTTGTGGATTTCAAGCTGTACGATAGACATGGCTAATAAGAACGTTTTTTTTTTTTGGGGGGGGGGGGAAGGGGGGGGAAAGGGGGGGGGGGTGGGGGTGCGTGCCTTTTTGACCATGTTCTTAGTGCACTTATCTCCACAGCGAAGCCCACGCGCCGTATGGAGGGGACAGGTTCGATTCCTGGCACGGTAACTATAGCTTTCGATTTTTATGTTGTCTAGTGTGTTCTTCTACCTTTCTACTTCTTTCTATGAGTGCTCATCAATACATTTTCTGTTGCTTTAATAATTTACCACATACAGTAGAAAGATCTGAGGTTTGGTCGGCTGGTATTCCAGTTTAAATCAAACTTTATGGATCTGACTTCATAGATTCCTGTGGCTTTCTCAGTGAGAACGAAAGAAGAAGAAGACCAAATTAACATTTATTTTCGTAAATTTGAAGGACTTCTGCAACCACTTGAAACGATGCTTGGTAACAAAGAGTTATTCTACCCGTTCACTGGCTGTAAACTCTGGAGGAAAGTTTTGGTTTTTTGTCCACCTCTAGACTTCAGTCTTGCTCCAGAACCTATGTGTTGCGTGCACATCCGTTCAACAGATATGACTTAATTATGTGCAGATTGTTGGTTCTTGCCTCTAAGGCAGATGTGCTTTGACTTTGAAGAAAGCCTCCCTCCCACCCTACCCCTCACTTATTCGACTCTTACGACATACTTAAAGAAAAGCAGTGGGTCTATTCTTGTTTCCCCCAAAATCTGACCCTGGAACCCACACAGATAACTAAGAGTTCAGACAGTTAGCAATGGGTTTTCCCATAAGAAAAATCCAACCTCTAGAGATTTGCCCGGCCTGCCATCTTGCAAGTGCTCCTCTAGGTCAAAGGTCGTGTCACAGATGTCGATCCCGCCGCACGTTTCCTGGAGCTCCTCCGACATCCTCGGCTGCTGGTCCACCAGGGTGTGCACGAAGGAAGTCTTACCGCTACCAAGATGTCCAAGAACCAAGACCTGATCGTGTTGAGTATAAACATCGCGTTTAATATGCACTTATTTTTTTTTTTGCAAACTACAATTCACGACATGTTATTTTACACCATCAGGACAGGATAAACACCCGGTGACACAAAGCGCCCCCATTTGGACGAGGATCACCCGTGGAGAGGTCCCAGAAACCCCGTTCAACCCATAGACTGGGTTATAATTAGGGCTCCTGGCAACAGCCGGAGTGAGAATTCACACACACACACACACACACACAAACGGAACAAATTGCGTCCCACCTGGGGACGGTTTTTAAAGAATTTTTTTTTTTTACTACGATCCTTCCATCCCTTTCCTTTTATTCTATCCGGGCTGTTAGTAAAGGTCTGACACCGTGAGATTACAAATCCCAGTCTGGAGGGCAAGCCAACAAAGCAAATACCAGATATCTAGTTCTTCCTCCAAATATGTTAGTTTCTTCTTATTCTTCGCGTCTATCTGCTATACACTGTAAAGGAAAGTTTGTACTGTTCGTCGTCTAGCTGGCAACTTTGCCAGAAAAAAACTAATCGTCACGCTCAACCAGCTTAAGGAAGCTTGGGGTTGTAATTGTGGCTAGTTTATGTGCACCTTATAAATTGGTTAAACATTGCTCGCCATCAAGAAGCACTTAACATGACTCTTTCAGTATTGATGCGATCACAGTAGACAGACACAAATACTGTCTCTACCGGCGACGAAGTCGTCTACAAACGGACCAAGGGTGACCTGATTACCGGTGGTTGTTCATCTACTTCCGGACTTTGGTTTTGTTCCAGAACTTGCGTTTTGTAAGAACAAATCTTTTTTCACAGATCTGGCTTATTGATTAGTGATTAGTGATTAGTGATTAGTGATTATTGATTAGTGATTAGAAAGCATTATCATCTCAGCACTGCGGACAGATCCATAGGTGCTCCGATCTCCTCCTCAGAAGCTCTACACGTGTAAAACTACTAATGTCGCCTGTTCGGTGTTGGTTAATGAAACTTCTTGTCCCCATAGTGAAATCTTCATTTCTTGCAGCTCCAGACTGCACCTCCTTGTCCATCAGTCTAGACAGGGATAAAGTTATATGTCCTTTGGTGTGCTCCTTGGTACGGTAAGTGCAGCGCATGTCATTGATAACATCACTTCTGTCCAGTATTGGACCAGCCAAAGCAACTGCAGTGTCAGCAGTATAGTCTGTACGCTCGTTCCCTTAAACACCCGCATGACCTGGCACAAAGACGAAGGTATGGGCAGATATTTGTGAAGTGCTTGGTTGTGCAATCCATTCTTGTCTGATAAATCCAGCTTGTATTTTTTTAAGCATATTCATTGAGTCACTAAGAATGCAAATGTGTGTGAGCTCTTGAGTACCAAGCCATTTTAATGCCCTTGTTACAGCAATAGTTTCCATCGTAAGGCTACTAGCTGTAACAGCAAATCGCCATCTGGCTTACTTGTGTCCAGGCTGTTTGTTGCTCATCTCTCAAGTAGACAAACTCTGACTTCAAAGGGAAAAAAAACCTGTTTTCTCCTTTAGACATAGGAGACAAATAGGGCTAGACCAATACAGAGGTATTCAACATGATAGATACACTTTCATTCATTATGTGGCCAGCATCTCCCCGACCGCCTTAACTCCCAAGACTTAACCTGGTACCCAGTTAAGACTGGTTCAAATAGGAATACAACGTCTTTTCTAAAAAAGTATGGCTCGCTCGGATTTAAACCAACGACTTTCAGATTCGCAGGCGAGCTTCTAGCCTCTACGCGACGGCGGCCCAGGCTTCGAGGGAAACATTCATAATTAATCAATTTTTACAAAACGATTGTTGGAAAGCAAAGGTAGAGGTGAGAGGATCGACTTCATTGCATCAAGTTTTATCCAATATAGCTCAGTCTCTCTCCGCAGATTGGCTAGCCGCTAGCCGCGAGTCGCACAGAGCTCGACCTTCGTAGCTCTGGCGACGATCCCCAGGGATCTCGGTGAAAACTGCATTCATGGACTGACGGCGCCGCCGTTAAACGAACTCACGACTTTCAGAGCGCGAGGCAAACGGCTTGACCAGTTCGCCACGGCGAAAGATATTGGGCGGGTTTAACATCATGGCATGGAAGATCATCTGTGTCAGAGTTGATAGAAAGTACACGAAACAGAAGGTTGTGGATAGACATGACTACCAACGCCACACGGCATGGACTTTATAAAGAAGAATATCTTTTCGAGACCAAGTAGTTAAACCTTCGGATAGCATTTCTGAAGGTTCTGTGTTTGGTTTCGGACTCAACTTTTCTGTCTGGGACTTTAGGACTTCGACATATTTTTGGGGATAGTCGCTGAAGCTAAGGAGTTTGTGCTTCGTAGGTCGCTCTCGGAGGGCGATAACCTCTTCTTTGGTCAGAGACTGGTAAACAAGTATAAAATGCTTAAGAAGAGGATGGGGAGGAAAAAAAAGAAAAGCAAAAGGACTAGATAGAAGAAAAAGAATCAGAAGAAGCAAAAGAAGAAGAAGAAGAAGAAGAAGACGAAGACGAAGACGAAGAAGAAGAAGAAGAAGAAGAAGAAGAAGAAGAAGAAGAAGAAGAAGAAGAAGAAGAAGAAGAAGAAGAAGAAGAAGAAGAAGAAGAAGAGTTGCAAATTTAATTACCTTGACTCCCTGATGAACTTTGACCTCTGACTGACTTTCATGAAAGAAGGAGGTGATACAGCGAAGACCCGACTCACAGACGTCCGATGGCGGGTACGTCAACGGGTTTTCCTTGAGCAGCAACGTCTGGTCAGTGTTCAGGTCAAGTTTCTTGAGACAGCCAAGACATGTACACATTTTCAATACTAGGTACCGCCCAGTTATAGTACGTTCCAAAAACTCATGTCGTTACACTATAACAAATACTCACAGTTACTTACATGTTATCTTTGATTTCCAATGTCTTCCATAAATTACAATTGCACAGATGCTGCTGTTTTCTTAGAGCGGCCAACTTTGATCTTTGTTTTTTTTTACTTCATTTGCTCAAGTTAGTCTAAGTATGCTGATTATTTGCTTTGACTCGGTATTTTTTTAATACAGCCAATAAAAAAAAAAAAAAAGAAGAAGAAGAAGAAGAAGAAGAAGAAGAAGAAGAAGAAGAAGAAGAAGAAGAAGAAGAAGAAGAACAAGAACAAGAACAAGAACAAGAACAAGAACAAGAACAAGAACAAGAACAAGAAGAACAAGAACAAGAAAAATAAGAAGAAGAAAAATAAAAATAAGAAGAAGAAAAAGAATAATAATAATATTAATAATAATAATAATAATAATAATAATAATAATAATAATAATAAGAAGAAGAAGAAGAAGAAGAAGAAGAAGAAGAAGAAGAAGAAGAAGAAGAAAAAGAAGAAGAAGAAGAAGAAGAAGAAGGAGGAGGAGGAGGAGCAGGAGGAGGAGTTACAAGAGTAGCATAAACAACACAAGTACTCTGGAACTTGCAAACACAGCCAGATCAGTTACAAACATGCACAATTATATTACATCAATATTATTGCCAAAAAACAGTGACAAAAAAACATGTAGCTTGTCATACATATGTTTTCACAACTGACGTCTTTGCAAATTGGGCATCCCCATGAGTGCTCAGTCCCCCGATGCAGCAGACACTCCAAGGTACCTTTACCAATTGTTACCTTAAGTTAGTTATAATAGCTCTATCTTTACCTTGAAGACGTCATACACTTGCTTCACCTAGTTTAGCTTCTCGGTCACGCAGTCGGGTCAGCGTCAGAGATTTGCCATTCTCCCCCAACCTAGTCCGTACAGCGTTGATGATATCAGCTCTGTCCATGGTTCTTCTAATTGTATTTGGTGCCTTAATTGCCAGCTGGTCAGCTCTTTCGTTACCCTTTACTCCTGCATGCCCAGGTGTGTATAGCTTCTTGTTGTTGCTGTTGTAATAGAAAGAAAGAAGAGGAAAACACGCTCATAGATCGTCCTAGCTGCATGTAATTCGTTACCTTAATGGAGTGATAGGGTAAGGATTTAATGTTATTGTTGCACAGGTCAAGCTTGTCCACCATCTGCAGTAGATGGCCGGGGAACTTGGTCAGTCTGTTGTCTGACAGGTCAACGTGCTTCAGGCGCCGTTTGGAGTGTGGCCGGATTGTGAAACTCGGGACAGTAGTTATCTGTGAAATAACAACATTATGGGGTGTAGTGAAATAACAACAATACGTGGTGTAGTGAAATAACAACAAGATGTGGTGTAATAAAATAACAACAACGTGTGGTGCATGAAATAACAACAATTTGTTGTGTAATGAAATATCAACAATACGTGGTGTAGTGAAATAACAACAATATGTAGTGTAATAAAAATGTGATGTAAGGTAGGTAAACTTTAGAACCGAGGTAAGTTGAGTTAAACCTTAGAGCTTAGCTTAGCTGAACTTCATATAAGACTGAGTTAAACTTCCCAGTTAGTTAGAGCCAGACCTCAGATCTAGACTAAGTGAAACCTCAGGGTTGGACTGAGTTCAGTCCTGAACTAAGTTAAACCTCAGAGTTTACTTGAGTTAAACCTTGAAGCTTACTTCAGTTAAATATCAGAATATTATTGAGTTCCGTTTTGGCATAGATTGCATTTTTGCCAGGGTAACTTTTTACGCTATATCTCAGTTTATAAGTGAGATATACTCCACTCGAGGAGAATACTTAGTAGTTTTTGTGGCTCGAATATTTTCTCTCAAGTATTGAGCTCGCCTCAAAATAAACTAACCGACTCTTTCCTCGAGATGAGGGATCATTGAAAATGGGCAGATCCCAGGTTCAATCCTCTGCTGCCGTTATAGCTCAACTCCCACCATCACAATATAAATACCCCAAGTCTTTCCATAGATGAACAAACATCAGAGTTGCACTAACTTCGTTCTTGCAAGCGATGAAGACGTCCAGATTTGGCAGCAGGAAAAGGTCGGTTGCCAGGGTACCGATCTTGTTGTCTGAGACATCTAGGTCTACAAGAGATTTCATTTGGCCGACATCTCGAGAAATCTGGGAAGAGACAGACGCTAAGAAATTGAAAATGAGGTTACCTGATTATAGTCATCATCATCATCATCGTCATCATCATCATCATCATCATCATCATAAAGCACTTCTGTCATTAGGCATCGTGGGGAGGAATAATTTGCGCGCTGTCTGCCACTGGCTATTGTAAAGACGTGAAGGCGTAGAGTGTCTTTAATGTTGTCGATCGATCATTTCTTAGCGGTCCTCTCGCTCTTATAGCTGATCGTCTGAGATGTAGTGCCTGTGATAGTATTTGATCTTGCTGCATTCTAACGAGATGGCAAAGCCACTTGATGTGCTGTCTTGATGAATCTATTTCAATGTCTCGTTCCCACAGTTTACCTGATAGTTTCATAATTCACTCATCTCAGATGGTTAGGCTGGCTGCTTTTCTCAGGCATCTCTTCTCGCAGGTGGTGATTTTGCGTAAATGGGGTTTAGATAGTGTCCATGTTGGGCATTGGTAGTCCAATAGTAGAATGAATATGATGTTTATAATCTGTCTCTTTGCACTCATAGTTATGCTTGGCAATACTAAAATTCTGTGAGATCAAAAAATAAAAACATAACAATGTGTTGATAACTGTTATTTCTTGGAAACTGACATACGTATGTAAAACCAACAGCCACATTATTGGAAGAAGGATAAAGAGAAGATAATAATCGTCAAGAAAGGCACAAAGGGAGGCGGAGAGACAAACACCATCCCCTCCGACCCCACGCAGTATTTCCTCCTGAGCCTAGGGCAGCGCATAGGGCAGAGGTCATAGCTCTCCATGTCTGACGGTTCGTTGCCACCTGGTTCAGGTCTTGGGTGTTCATTAGACCCATGGTTGAGCCTTCCCTGATGACGGTTCTACGCTGGGTCTCTCTTGGTCTTCCTTTTCCAGTGTCCATATGAGGGCTTGATTTGCTGGGGCGGGGGGGGGGGGGGCGGGGTTGTCTTATCTTATTCATTCCGAGTACACGACCGATATCGTTTCAAAGGCACTTTCAAATAAAGTTAGCTACATTTTCTTGTTTTGTCTCTAGTCATATTTGGGTATTGGATCTGAAATCTGTCCAGTTGAGACTTAGTATTCTTCCAAGACATCTGTTTTGTAAATTATCCTTTTTCTTTTTTTGTTTTTAAATCGAGAACTACTGTTGCTTTCCAATTCTTGCATCCATAAGTTGGCACCGGAATCACAAGAGAACTTATGTTTTGCGTGATTGCTGAATGTCTTTGACCTCCAGATATTTGACCAGTTTGATAAAAGAATCCCCCCCCCCCCCCCCCCCGCTTTAAAAAGGGAGATAAAGAAAAATATGATGTAAGCAAATAAATGAAACGTTAACAAATAAAAGAAAGAAACAGCGCATCGATTACTCAATTAATTAAAATAAACTAGGCAAATTAAAATTATAATTAAAATTATCAGATGCAACTGAAACTAACCTCACGTAAACTATTCTTGCAGCATCTGAGAACCTCGAGCCGGCGAAGTGGGGCCACCTCCTTGAACACTGAGGTCAGTTTGTTGTTGTCCACGACTAGAATACGGAGTCTACGGAGTTTGGAGAGTCCATTAACGGAGACAATCTGAGGTTTGGAGGAACCGTAATCAGTTATGGTAGGCAATTTTGGTCATATATACGGATTGTGTTAACTTATGAAATGTCGAAGATGGGCAGCTAGAAAAATAAGGTTACACTCTGACAGAAATTTATGGTTGTGTGTCCACTTCTGAACGTTGGACATGTTTCAAATTTAAATCTGGCTTATATTATGCAGAATATTAGTTCCTTGCTAGTAGGATGCACTTGGATTTTGAAGTATACACCTCAAATTAGTCGTATTTTACGACATGCTTACTAGGTGACGAGCCAGTGGGTCTATTCTCCACTATCCCCAACAAAGGTAAACCGAACCCACACGCTGAAGACAGACAAACAGGCAAGATAAGTGAGAGACGATAGACAGAAACAAGACCAGACAGGTAGGCAGACCAACTGACTGACTGGTAAGCAGCCATTTTTTTTTACACATTGCCTGAACTTGATCTAGGTTAAAGGGATGTCATGTTGCACTCTTTTCTTCCACAAGAGTCTCTTGTGTGACGTAAGCTGAGGCTGTTGGTAGGGGGTTTGTGTTAGGATTAGTTGTAGATGTTCTGGAGTCGTTGAAAGCTGAGTTGTCGTGTAGTGTAGAACATGCGACACCGGCGCTGATGTAATGGGAGGCACGACAGCGTGACACCCCTCTGACGTAGAACAGTCTGTGAAAATATGAATGAAAGTTCAGGCAATGCGCAGATGGTCCGTGTGTTCCATCTACACACACACACATACACACACACACACACATATATATATATATATATATATATATATATATATATATATATATATATATATATATATATATATATGTGTGTGTGTGGGGGGGGGGTGCGTGTGAATTTGCTAGGAGGTAGATAGACAAGACAGAGATATCGACGGAAAGAAACCGTCAGTCAGATATGCGTCTAAGGATTCCTACTGGTAGGCAGTTAAGTAGATAAACACCAGTAAATAGGTAGGTAAGTAGCTGGCTGGGTGGGTAGATCGATCCGTCGATAAAAGGATGGATTGGCATGTTGGTTAACGGATGGTTGGATATATAGGTAAATGGAATGATATAATAGTGGATGGATCGGTTAATGTGTGGAGCGATTGATCGTTAAATAGATTGATAAGTAGATGGATCGATGAATGGGCAGACGGACACCTACATTAGTCACTTACTTCGTTGTCACTGAGGTCCAAGCGACTCAGCTTCTGCAGTTTTCTCAAGCAGACAGGGAACTTGCTTAATTTGTTGTTGGCCAGGCTAAGATCGACAAGCTGCTCCAGATTCTTCATACATTCTGCAACAAAACCAACTTAGTTAGTTAGTTAGTTAGTTAGTTGGGTTATCCTCATTGCACTCCGGACATGTCCATGGGTGCTCAGATCCTCCCCTCAGTATGAACCCCAACGTCCGATGGCTAATAGTACCAGTTCTATGTTGATTAACAAGTCTTCTGGCGTAGCTGGTGTGCGTCTCGTTTTTTGCTGTGCCGATCTTAATTCCCAAGTCTACCATTCTGGCGAGTGATGTGGATTCACTGCCACCAAAGTCCTCTATCCTTCCCATTTCTCTGAGGGCATTGATAATATCAGCATGATCCATAGGCCGACCGTCGGTAGTGATAGCGGATCCAGCCAACCTGTCAGCTCTTTCATTTCCATCGACGCCTGCGTGTAACAAAACCAACGTCATAGTAGACTATGACGTAACAAAACCAACGTCATAGTAGACTATGACGTAACAAAACCAACGTCATAGTAGACTATGACGTAACAAAACCAACGTCATAGTAGACTATGACGTAACAAAACCAACGTCATAGTAGAACACCCTGATCTTTCATATGTGGTCTCATATACTGTGCCCCCTCTAAAAATTCACCCGGTGGGAACTGAGTACCCATTCGGAAGAAAAAAATTGCCGTAAACGTTGACAACTTATGGGGTGTTTAAACAGAGTCTGCATGGGAGACACCAACAGTGTGGATACAGACAAGCTAGATCAGTAAAAACGGATATGCCCGAAAAACCTAATTTCTGGAAAAAAGATTAAACGGGAAAACCCGAAAGTCTAATGCAAAAGGTCTCTCTCACCTGGGAATGAGGCATCGCCCAGCTTGTTGTCACTGAGATCTAGTTTGGTGAGGTAGATGAGTGAACACACGAGCTTCTCAGGGATGGTCTTCAGCTGTATACTTGAGGCTGTGAGACGCTTGATCGTTCCAGCCAGCTTCTGTTGGGTAAAAAGAGTAGTTAGTAAGTAAAGATCCCTTTTCAAGGCATTAGGCGCATCATGCAGATCAGAAAAGCGCCCATATTTTTTACAGACCAATCGGCACTAGATGGGGAATGGGGTCAGCATTACACCGGCCGTATTTACTTCCCCAGGTCATATATCCTTGTACCCATTTAAGTCTGGGTCGACCCCATACCACGATAATAATCCACGCAGCCGCAGTAGGTACAAAAAAGTAGGCAAAGGAAAAATTGACAGAAACTGATTGGATACGATAGATGAAAGGAGTTGTTTGCGTTCTTTGGATATTTTCTCTGGGTTACTCCAGAGTTTTGGGAAATGAGCACGCAGATAGAGTGGCTGGTGCTGCACCAATGTGTGGCAAATTAATGGCATAACAAGCTTGAGTGGACAAGATCCTTCGCGAGCTGGCAAACAATGCAGGGGCAGGAAAAGATAATTATGGCCCAGAGAGAATGCGGCAGCTGGGCGTTCCCAAGGGTTTTGGTCAACATTCTACACTCCAGGCGAAGACAAGATCGACAAATAATCAAACTGCTTCCGACGCCGTCGGAATTGGAACTCATCACTGGCTGCTGATAATTTGGAATAAGCGCTTATGGGAATGTCCCGATTGTTGTGATTGTTCGTAGCTCACAACTCAATAATCTAAACACTCAACAATCTCAACAAGCTCACAACTCAATAATCTCACCAATCTCAACAACATCGAACCTCAATAACCGCAACACTTGATAAGTTCAAAACTTAACAATCTGAACACTCAACCATGTCAACAACATGAAACCTAAACACTCAACAAGCTCAATACTCAGCATCCACAACACTCAACATTTTCAACACTCAACAATCTCAACACTCAACAATCTCAACACTCAACAATCTCAACACTCAACAGTCTCAACAACATCAAAACAACAAGCTCAATACTCAGCATCCACAACACTCAACATTTTCAATACTCAACACCCACAACACTCAACATTTTCAATACTCAACACCCACAACACTCAACATTTTCAACACTCAACAACCTCAACACTCAACAACCCTTACACTTAACAACCTCAACAACCTCATACTCAACAACATCAACACAACAAGCTCAGTACTCAGCAATTTCAACTCGCAACAATCCTAACTCTTAACAATTGCAACACCCGACAATCGCAACACCCAACATCCGCAACACCCAACAATCGCAAAAGCCAACAATCGCAACACCCAACAATCTCAACACTCAAAATACAACAATATCAAAAGTCCCAACACTTAACAATCTTAACACTCAACGAGCTCAACACTCAACAACCTCAACACTCAACAATCTCAACACTCAACAAGCTCAACACTCAACAAGCTCAACACTCAACAATCTCAACACTCAACAATCTCAACACTCAACAATCTCAACACTCAACAAGCTCAACACTCAACAATCTCAACACTCAACAAGCTCAACACTCAACAATCTCAACACTCGACAATCTCAACACTCGACAAGCTCAACACTCGACAAGCTCAACACTCAACAATCTTAACACTCAACTATCTCAACACTCAACAATCTCAACACTCAACAATCTCAACACTCAACAGTCTCAACACTCGACAAGCTCAACACTCAACAAGCTCAACACCCAACAAGCTCAACACTCAACAATCTCAACAATCTCAACAATCTCAACACTCAACAATCTCAACACTCAACAATCTCAACACTCAACAATCTCAACACTCAACAATATCAACACTCAACAATCTTAACACTCAACAATCTCAACACTCAACAATCTCAACACTCAACAATCTCAACACTCAACAAGCTCAACACTCAACAATCTCAACACTCAACAATCTCAACACTCAACAAGCTCAACACTCAACAAGCTCAATACTCAACAATCTCAACACTCAACAATCTCAACACTCAACAATCTCAACACTCAACTATCTCAACACTCAACAATCTCAACACTCAACTATCTCAACACTCAACAAGCTCAACACTCAACAATCTCAACACTTAACTATCTCAACACTCAACAAGCTCAACACTCAACAATCTCAACACTCAACTATCTCAACACTCAACAAGCTCAACACTCAACAAGCTCAACACTCAACAAGCTCAACACTCAACTATCTCAACACTCAACAATCTCAACACTCAACAATCTCAACACTCAACAAGCTCAACACTCAACAATCTCAACACTCAACAAGCTCAACACTCAACAAGCTCAACACTCAACAAGCTCTGCACTCAACAAGCTTTGCACTCAACAATTTCAACTCTCAACAACCTCAAGACTCAAATACCTCAACACTCGACAACCTCAAGACTCAAAAACCTCAACACTCGACAACCTCAAGACTCAAAAACCTCAACACTCGACAACCTCAAAACGTAAAAACACTCAACAACCTCAGCACCCTCAACAGTCTCTTTCAGGCGGACTGTGATGGGAGCGACGTTCTGCAAAGGACCTCATACATGATGATAATGAACGTGAAACTCACCTGTACATGATCTATTGTGTTCGAACTGGCGTCAATCAGTCTGAGAGCGACAACTGTCTCTGTCTTCTCCACCTTTATTCGTGCCGGGTGCAGGTGCCGGGACTCCAATAGGCCGACATATGCCATGGGAATAGGCCCGTAGGGGCTCTGAATTATAGGGCTCTTTGCTCTGCGCCTTTTGATCTTTGCTGCTGTAAGGAAAAGAGAGGTAGCTCGTTCTGATATAGTGCAGTAGTCTCCAACAATTTGCATTTGCGCCCCCATCACCTGTTTTTGTTAGGTATGATAATGCATCCTCCCTCCCCCCCCCCCCCCACCCACCCCCCCCCCCAAAAAAAAAAAACACATAAACGAAATTTGATTAAAAACAGGATAAGGCAATCCCAATCAGCACAAAGAGACATCTCAAACAAAGCATATTTAATCCCACCCTATGCTACCAGTGCCAGACGTGGTCACTCACAACAAAACAAAAGAGAAAACTAATAACAATATAAATGAGGTAATCTGGTAATCCTAGTTGCAGCTTCATATCAAACGGGTCACCCCATAGTTGCTCCGCTACTGTGACAACTAAAAACACACGTAGCTCACAGTGTCACGCCATGCACTCAATATGAGGTGTCTGAGAAAGGCTGTAGGAGTGAACAGAAGAGATAAAGTCAGGAATGTGGTCATGCGAGATAAAGTCGGCACAGAACCAGTTCTAAATTACACAGACAGACAGCAAATGAAATGGTTTGGCCACTTGGAGAAAATGCCTTCTGGTGCTATACCCTACAAGGAAGATACCAAAATAGGACAGGGACGTAAAGCAAGAGGTAGACCAAGAACAAGATGGAAGGATAATATCAGAGAAACTCTACAGCACCACTGTGTGTCTTTGGTCGAAGCAGCCAGAAAAGCACGAAGCGGGACCTATATCTTCATCGACATCCAAAGCGGTAAAAGAGGACGTAGAGAAGAAGAAGGAGAAGATTGAAAAAAGCAGATCAAAAAGAAAACTCCCGAAAACTGTTAACAAGAACATGGAGAGAAACATCCACATAGTGTAGAGTATCCCATAACAAAGGAAACAATCACCAACAACTGGTAATTTAGTGTCCAAATATCAATGTGATGGTTGGCACTGTTGTGTCATGTTGATACCTGCTATTTTGTTGTTGTCTGATGTTAAACAAGACCACTCTCCGCACCAAGCTAGCAACGCTGTTTTTTTTTTTTCTTTTTATTTTATAGTATTAAAAAAAATTTATGTTTTATTTAACTCGAAACATTATTTTTGTCGTATGGCAGCTTATTATAATTATAAATGCACTAAGTTTTAAACTGCTGGACGCCGCCGCCCCCTCCCCCCCCCCCGCCCTCTTTTTGAAACACCCCCCCCCCCCCTCCCCAACCACCATCCAGGTACTTGACAACTTATTTTGTTGAATATTGAAAAAAAAAATCGACATCACAGCACTCGGGACACTCCCATAAGTGCTCCACTCCCCCATCTTCAGCAGCAACTGAAGAGTTCCAATTCGGATGGCACCAGTAACTGTCTGATTGTATATCCGTCTCATCCTTTCCCTGAGTGTTGAGCGTCGACCAGATCTCCTGGTAACTCCTCGCAGCGCCATTCTACTCAGACCGTAATGATCTATCTGCGCCTCTGCACTGCTCACTCGTTCCCAAAGGGCCCTCACAACATCCAGCTTGTCATGCAGCAGTTCACCACCAAGTGGTGCAGAACGGGTCAGTCTATCTGCCTGCTCATTTCCCAACACACCAGCATGACCAGGAAAAGATTTAGTATTGTCACTTGTCTTGTCTTGTCCACAATTGCCTCACAGCGTAGTGGGGAGTCGCAGTTTTCTATCCTGGGCCAGGTGTGTTGCATGTGTTGTTGTTAGTCCGTGTTGCCTCAGGATCTCTGATATATTGTCTATCCATCGTACTCTCGGTCTGCCTCTTGCTCTAGGGCAGTAGTGTTGTTCGTTGTATGCTCGTAGAGGCAGTTGGTCTGTTTGCATTCGCATTAAGTGGCCAAACCACTCTATTTGTTGCTTCTTTATGTATTGCAGGCATGGTGTGGTTCCTACAATTGCTCTAATGTTATCGTTTCGAACTCTGTCTCTCCTTGTGACATTGGCAGCCTTACGTAAGCATCTCATTTTGCACGTCGTGATCTTTTTCTCCTGTGCTCTTGTTAGGGACCAGGTTTGGCATTGGTAGCATTGTCACTTCGGTCTGGAAACAATGATACAGATTGGGAGGCAACAGGAGATCTGGCCGACACTCTACACTCGAAAGACAATCAAGATCAACATATAATCAAGCTGCTACTGGCATCGTTGGGACTGAAACTCTTTACTGGCTGCTGAATATGAGAACGGAGCGTTTAAGGGGACGTCCCGAGGGCTGTGCTGTCAGATCCTAACACTAAGAACGCGGGAAATGTTGTACAAGCCTCATTTTGAAAGATATAAGGTTTCAGGTTTTGAACAACGGATCAACATCATGGCACACGGGTAGTAACCCATAAGTGCTCCGTTCTTCTTCTTACATGAGTCTGAGTCCGAAAAGCTCATCACAGTGCACAGGCTTAGAGTGTTAGAGTGCATGTATGTGTACGCGTGAGTGTGGTTGCGCTTGTAAGTGTCTGTATCAACATGAGTGCATCTAAGTATATGTATGAGTGTGTGTACGTGTGTGCAGGTTTGTGTGTATGTATATATATATATATATATATATGGTTAGTTTTACGTTGGTCTTACCAAACAAAGTAGGTCACGTTTTAATAACAAGTTTGTTGGGCTGGTCTAATTTTCTGCAGGTTACGGGTATGCCGCTCTGTTGTTTGCTTTCTGGGTTGTCTTGAATTAACTTTTTTTCCCCCGAGAAATAGAATGCCTGTGACATAGTTTTCATCACTCTCCAAAGAAGTTTTGTGTTAGACCTAGTTTGTCTATGTTTTGGAGTGTTAAAAGCGCTGGCGTGCTGAAATATACAACAGGCGATCTCAACAGCATTGCAGAACACCCACGTAGCCTTGTGGAATGGTAACATGGCTCAAGGTCGACCATTCAGAAGTGAGCTAGGCTGAATGAAGGTCGACCAATCAAAAATGAGTTAGTGTGTAACCATGTGTAAATAGGAAGACTAACGTTAATGTCAATATATATATATATATATATATATATATATATATATATATATATATATATATATATATATATATATATATATATATATATATATATATATACACACACACATACGCATACGCCCGCGCACACACACACATACAGATAGAGAGAGAGAGAGAAAGAGAGAGAGAGAGAAAGAGAGAAAGAGACAGAGAGATAACACTGGACACAGCATTACATCTGTTATTATAAGTCAGGTAACAGTCCTGACGTCATTTACTTCAAACAAACCTTCCGAAGAATCTCGACTCAAGTACTCAAAACGGTATATAAAAACCATTGGGGACATAAACAGCCATCGTAAATCACATTTCAAGGGAGATAAGTCATGAAAAGCTATCGACTGAACAAACAATCAACGAACTAGAAATGCTGAACCTCTGAAACGTCATTTGCGGGTTAAGTTTAACGACACACTGTATCCCTTTTCTGTTGTCCTACTATAAACACTTCTTTACTGACCTGTTTGAACTAAGATCGGGTTTCAAAGTGGCAATAACCGAACTAAGATTAAATTCTTATGGCAAACATTTCCGACTTTAGAAACTATGGTCTCTAATTCAGATTCAGGATTATATACGCATATTCTTACGTCCTTTTTAAGACGTAATTTTTTGTTATTTGAAGCCCCACTCTGGCTTTTGCCAGGGGCCGCAATATAGGCAGGCCATAAATATGGCCAATTGTCTGAACGCGGTTTCTGGGACCTCTCCACGGCGATCCTCATCCACATGGTGGTACTTTGTGTCATCGGGTGTTTATCGCTTTTGTGATGTCCTGGTGGGGTAGAAAGTCAGTCAGTCAATTCAGGATTAAGGCTATTATTCGTTACGTCCTTCTTAGGACGTTATTTTTTTGTTATTTGAAGCCCCACTCTGGCTTTTGCCAGGGGCCGCAATATAGGCAGGTCATCATTATGGCCAAATGTCTGAACGCGGTTTCTGGGACCTCTCCACGGTGATCCTCATCCGCATGGTGGCACTTTGTGTCATTGGATGTTTATCGCTTGTGTGATGTCCTAGTGGGGTAAAAAGCCAATCCAATTCAGGATTTGTAATATATTCATACCACTTTTCGTCCTTCTTAGGACGTTATTTTTTGTTATTTGAAGCCCCACTCTGGCTTTTGCCAGTTGCCGCAATATAGGCAGGTCATCATTATGGCCAAATGTCTGAACGCGGTTTCTGGGACCTCTCCACGGTGATCCTCATCCGCATGGTGGCACTTTGTGTCATCGGGTGTTTATCGCTTGTGTGATGTCCTGGTGGGGTAAAAAATCCAATCCAATTCAGGACGGTAGCTACCCTTAATACGCTATTCATCCCTTTGTAGGATGCAATTTTTCGTTATTTTGAAGCCCTACTCTGGCTCTTTCCAGGGGCCATAAATATGGTCTATTGGCTGAACGCGGTTTCTGGGACCTCTCCACGGTGATCCTCATCCACATGGTGGCCCTTTGTGTCATCGGGTGTTTATCGCTTGTGTGATGTCCTGGTGGGGTAGAAAGTCAGTCTTTTTGGGCGTTAATTTTTTGGAATACAGTTTTCTGTCTATGACCGAATTCAGTCTTTCATGAAAGGTTGTATATTAGATCTAATTTTGCATTATATTTTTATGTTACGTTTTTGGAATGAGCAACTGAAAGAGGAGATGGAAGACAGATGATAAATAAAAGCAGATTATGAAATGAAATGTCTCACATCATAAAAATACTGGTTTTAACTTGAAGTGGAATTATAAACAAATCTAACGTTCGTAAAATTTATTGGGGGTAAATTCTTCAATGCAGGTGGAGAAAAGAAGAAGAAGAACAAAAAGAAGAAGAAGAAAAAGAAGAAGAAGAAGAAGAAGAAGAAGAAGAAGAAGAAGAAGAAGAAGAAGAAGAAGAAGAAGAAGAAGAAGAAGAAGAAGAAGAAGAAGAAGAAGAAGAAGAAGAAGAAGAAGAAGAAGAAGAAGAAGAAGGGGAGGACGAAATAAGGGGAGAAATAAAAGGAAGGAAGAGAAGAAGAAAGGCGGAAAGGAGAAGAGGAAGGAAGGAAGGAAATGAGAAAAGAAAAA